CTAGGTTGACCAATGAAGAGAAAAGAAGACAAGAAGCAAAGGAGGAGGGAGACCAGGAGGATATAAGAAAGGTCCCGGTTGTTGGCTTTGACAATGGGAGTTTCTAGGTATTTAATGAATACGATTAAAACAAATCCTGTAGTTAGGAACAAGAGTAGGGCAAAAGAGATTAAGATGATTCCCAGATTCTCTTTATAGGACAGGAAGGTTATTCTTTTGGGGATACATTGGACTCGGTTCTCAGATGGATATTGATCATCTGGACACTTTGTGCACTTTTCACTATCTGTGGAAACAGAAAGTAAAGTTTCTTTTATGCACCAATCTCTCCTTCCAAATGACTCACATATCAGTTTAATGCACATTATACAAAAGAAAAGAGAAGGGACCAAGGACCTGAACTCTGTCCTCCAACAACACCAACTGAAACCATATGTGAAGAGGAGAAACATTGCTAAAGTCTGTCTCTCATTCCCAATCCTCAGTGTTGTTCCAGAAAGAGACCTTTGTTGTTGGTACAAGAACCTTACGACAGGTCCAGAAAGGACAATATGGCTTTACCAACCACATCCTGAGCTCTGCAGAGGTCATTGGCAAGAGCAATTGGTGTCATCTTTCTGCTGTAATTCAAGATACCATCCATTCCTAGGAGAAGACATTAACTCCTAGACTTTTTGGGGTATAAAATGCATTTGCCCCCTAAAAGTGGGTGAAAGTTGTGATGATCTTATGCACCAAATGTTTCCAAAGCCCTGCCCACCCACTGACCATCCCCACAACTTGGAACAGTTGATTCGCAGTATTCCGGGGGGCCAAACCAACCACCAATCAGCTGCTCATGTGGAGTCATGCTGAGATAATGTGCTGAAGCTGACCAGGCTGTTTGCTACAAGGACACTAGCCAGATCTTTTTCTTATTTTAGAATTTACATTCTGTTGAATGTAAAATGCAACAACAAAATATTTAAGCATCTATGTGTCTTTAACGTGCACTTTGATCAAAATCTCTGTATGCCTCTGGTTTCATGTTTTCTAGAGTCACAAACCTTCATAAGTGGAGATGGTCCCCTCTGGACAAGGAACGCAGTCATANTTGGGCCAGTTACCCTAAAAGCAAAAATCTGCTGGGAGTGCAAAGCCTTAATAGTCTCAGAATGCACTAGATGTCCTATAAGTGCTGATACTGCTGCTAAGTTGAGGGTACATATGAGGAGACTATCCCAGGCAATATGTTTCGAACAAATGGATGGTTCTTTGTTGGGGGCCAGCCGGCAACCCATATAACCAACTAGGTCACGAAGGAGATAGTCCCTCATAGGGAGATCATACGTTTTGTGATTGTCCTGGGAATTACCGAGCAGGTTCTATTGGGTTTAGCTTGGTTAGACAAGTGGGGTCCCACTATTTTTTTTTGGGGGGGGAGGTAATAGGCATCTTCAGATCGGACTTTGCACTAACCCACCTCCGCATGAGCAACTTTTCATGGGGTTGGAGTCTGAGGAGGGAGGGAAGGGGGGAAGGAGGCATCATATTCACTACTGTATGATGAGCTAAAGGAGGTGTTCAGTGAGCAAGGTTGTGATACCTTGCCTCCTCACAGGCTCACTGACTGTGCTATCGAGATAATATCTGGGTCATGACTACTGAAACCCCATGTACTCGATGACTACTCAGCGAGATGCCAGCTTATATTGAAAAGAATCTTAAGCAGGGTTTTATACAACCAGCCTGATCACGGGTAGCCGTTCCTGTGCTGTTTTGGGATAAAAAAGATAGAGAGTTAAGGCTGTGGGTTGACTTTAGAGGTATCAACGTGGTTTGCATTGAGCACCTCTACCCGCTTCCATTGAAGAAAGATATGTTGGCCCAATTAGCAGCAGGCCACATATTCATTAAACTTGATCTCAGGGAGGCTTATTGCAGGATCCGAATCAAAGCAAGTGATGAATGGAAAACAACTTTCAATTGTCTGTTAAGTAGCTATTAGTTTAGGTCATGCCCTTTGGGTTACAAGGAGCCCTTGCTGTGTTCATGCAGCTGAGTAATGAAGTCCTGTATGGACACCTTTATAAAGGTATCCTTGTTTAACTAGATGATATACTGATATAGACTAAAACAATGGATGAGCATGTCCATTTGATGCGCTAAGTACTTAGAAAATTGTTGGATTGGACCATGTGATAGACTTGTGGGTGTAGGGGCAAGTTCATGAATTTTCAACTGGGTGAGCAAAACTGGGAAGCTTTCAGATTCAGTTTTTTCCAGATGTGCCAACATGGCTCTTAATAAATTGGAACTTTGAGCAATACTTTGCCTTGGACACTGATTTAATTTTGATGCCATTTGGAACCCTGACAGGGGCAAGAGGAGCACTATGAGTGGAGGCCATATTAGATACCCACCTGTGGCATGGCCACCTTCTGTGTCTTGTATTGCGGAAGGGATATCCATTGGCAGAGGCATCATGGGTGGCTGGGGAGGATGTACATGTGGATAGGTTGCTTGCTAGATTTTATAGAAACAACCCACTGAATCCAGGAAATCCCCAGAGCCACACCAGGTAATCCCCAGAGGCACACTCACTTAGATCTTTCTATTCAATACATTGTCTCTATGGTAGGGGCTGCATGTCAGTTCCGGCGCTCTCAGCAGCTCAGGGCTGCCTTATTGCTGGTGGGGAGATTCGTGACTTGGATGACTGTTATATCACATGTGTTTCCCTGCCGCACCAAGATCCTGCAGTGAGTTTCATACGGAACGGAACCAGCACATGCGTGGCAATGTAAACCAGCATAGCCTGTTGGAGTATATTGAGTATATTGCACATGGGTAGGAGAGGGCGGGCCACAAGTGGTGGGGCATAGGATGGTTTAAATGGTGGAGGAAAGTACAGAATTACAGGCTTGACTTTAATTCACTCGTGTTTTGCATTATGTGTTTGCTGGAAGTATCGGAACAGGCTTATAAAGATTACATTTACCACAAACCACCTGCTTAGTCTTGCTGTTTGTTTTCTTTGCAAAGCCAGAACTGAGAACCATGGGCCAACACCCCAAATTTATTTTTCCCTCTCTTAACTAATAGCCAATGAGGTTCAGGCAAGTTGCTTTCATGATGGTCATTCCAAGAACCGTTTGGTATCCTGTTCCATTCTTCTTTCAGCTTGATGACCTTGAGGCAGTGTCTCAAGGAGGTAAATCACTTACTTTCATTTCCCCAAGTCTTCCCCCACTTCAGTCCCCTTCTGCACAGTTTGCGGCAGCCTGTCACCACATAGCAGGAAAGCACAAGCAAGCATAAGATGGCAGCTGATAGTGTGTGACACTTGAGGGGCATGTGTACATGTTGAGCTGACATAAGGAGTTGAGTATTTTTATTTGTAGTGTGAGAGTTATAATTATATTTACATGGTGTAAAGCCTCAGGAAAGCCCTTCTATTTTCTATCTATGATTATTTTCCCATCTGCATAGTACAATGCTGAAAGCTTCCCAGTTGGAGAAAAGAGGATCAAGTGGTTTCTTTGGCTAAGAGACCAATCTAGTCTCAAGTTTTCTTTTTTCTTTCCCTTGAATTGAGCCTTCACAAAGGTTGTTGCAACCCTTCTAGGTGAAGTTTTACAACCGTGTCATTCCTGTTGACTCGTGTCCAGAAATGATGTTGTGAGAGTAATAAATCACTTTCAAAGAAATGAAATTCTGATGTCCCATAAGGTCTATGATGTCACCCAACATCTGCAGAAATCACTGTAGTGGGTCATGCAGAGTGTTGCAACTGAGAGTCATCAGTATGTTCTTGATAACCAGCTCTACTGTCCTCACCTACTTTTGAGAACAAGTCAGAGAGAGAAGGATACTATGCTACGAAGTTCCATATACAGTATATTCAATTTTTGGCAACAGAATCCTTCCCCTTCTCTTTTGGGAGCCTTGTCTCCTTGGCAGCTGTCTTGTGTCAATATACACTGACTGTCTCATTGCTTATACTGTCATTATCTGACTGGGGAAAAAATTAATTATTATCGTTTTACTCATAGAAAGTATAACCTTGCATTTTAACTTCACTAGTCTCACACTTAATTCTATTTTTCTATGATTCTATTACATCTGAATTTAAGAAATTATTTCACTATCACTGCCCTACTTTTATGGTTAGATGTTCCTTAGTGTTTAGATCTGGTCTCAAGATGATAATGTAGCACTTGGGGAAGAAGATGCAGACCAGCAGACCAGCACTTGAGGTCAAGATGGAGAAGACTTGCACAGCCACCATGGACTTTCCTTTGGTGCTCAGATAACTTGGTAGGAAGGAGACCCAGACGCAGCAGAAGACCAGCATGCTGAAAGTGATCAACTTGGCTTCATTGAAGGCCCCAGGGAGATTCCTGGCCAGGAA